GTTGACATGTCTCGCTACTCCCCATGGAGACACAAACTTCAGTTGGAAGGAACCTCCCCGCCTCTCCTTGCGCAGAGGACAAAAGGGGGGTGAAAATCAACACACAACCCTCTGCCAAAAGATGGGGAGAAGCCCTGCCAACTCCCCCCACCCCACCCCCTGCAAGCGCTGAGGGTGGGTGCCCTAATGCATAACAGCACCTTCTCTTTGATGGCTAGTCAAACAGCTTTGCAACCCCCGGGGGACTGAAGCAGCCTTTGGAAGAATCTGTCCCCATGACGGATGGATGCCATTCCAGGGGTGCCTAAAAGCTGCTTTCTGTCCCACTGCCCGGCCCTAAGTTGAGCCATCTGCAGTCTGTCAAAACGTTCGAAGTTTAATAGAAAGCATGAAAGGGAAGAATGCGGAGCGGCAGAATGGGGGTTGAGGGCCGATTCATAGTAGGCGCTCCTTGGTTGCCCTACGAAACAACCACGGTGACTTTTGCTGTGCCGAGAGCCATTGCTCAGGTAGCCCTGACGCCTTGTCCTCCCACCCTCCCACCCTTAAAAGACATCACACACACACCCTAATTCATCGGTCCCAAAATTAAGTGCATAGATGTTTGGATGGAATGAACAGCACCCAACCTCAGCTCCAACTCCATTGCCCGAGAGAGCATCTGTGAACAACAGACACCTGACACAGAGGTGGGTATTCAGCCGGTTCGGACCAGGTCTGGAGAACCGGTAGCGGAAATTTGGAGTAGTTCAGAGAACTGGCAAATCCCGCCTCTGACTGGCCCCGCCAACCCCATCTCTTCTCTGCCTCCCATTGAGTCCCAGCTGATCGGCTGGGTCTCCTTTGGTTGCCCTGTACAGGAGAATGGAGCTGGGAAGCAGGTTAGTGGGGTGGGGAGGGAATGGGGATTTTGCAGTATCCTTCCCCTGCCACGCCTACCAAGCCACACCCACAGAACCTGTAGTACAAAAATTTGAATCCCACCACTGATTCCTTACAGCCTGAGATGAATCTCCCATCCATTGAGGATTTCCCATTCTTAATTTGTGCCAAAAATGAACAGGTTCCTAATAACCCCAGAGGTGGCTATAAGCTGGGCAGCTCTATAAATCGAATAACTAAATTTCAATCCCTGCAACAAATTGGCTCAGAACACATGCTGATCCTGTCCACCATTAAACCATCTTTCCAAACATGTTTCCAGTGTCTTTTTCCCCCGCTTGGAACTGGACCCAGAAGGATCATTATTCCAACAGTAGAAAGGAATAACCCAGCAGGACCAACACACAGACAAAAACTTGGCTAATTCCAGGGTCATTTTGGGGTGAGTTAATTCCATCACCGAGTTAAGGGTGTTGTATCAACACAGCCTTAAAATAGCCTTTTCCTCCCTCCTCCCACACCGAGGCCGGTTTCTGCCCCATCTGCCGATGGCATTTTTGGATGTGCTTCAAAGCCAGGCAGGGCGCCTGGTCTATTTACAGCTGCGTCCCTTTCCAGGAAGGACACCTGTAAGCGAGGCTTCAGCACCGCCTACCACCAACAGATGCGGGTTTAGACAGATGGGCAACACACCGGATCTTTTGGGGGTGCCAACAAGGAGGAGAAGGCAGCATTCATCTAAGCCAGAGTTTCTCAACCGTGGCCACTTGAAGAGGTTGTGGACTTCAGCTCCCAGAATCTCCCCAAACTGGCATTGTATTTACAATGGCTGCAACATCCTGGGTTCATGTCATGACCGCTTGCCACTTTCCCAGTCGGATTCTGACAAACAGAATCAGTGGGGGGGGAGGCGGTTTGCTTCAGGACTGCATTGATTCGCTTAGCAACCATGGGGGGAGGGAAAGGTCGCAAAGTCAAGGGTGATTCATTTAACAATTACTTTGCAATGGAAATTCAGATCCCAGTTGTAAGTCAAGGATAACCTAGATGGGGTGATTGTGTTGGCCCTGTCCACTGGTGGGATTCAATTTTTTTTTACTACCGGTTCTGTGGGTGTGACTTGGTGGGCGTATCAGGGGAAGGATATACTGCAAAATCCCCCTTTCCTCCCCACCCCACTAGCCTGCTTTCCAGCTCCATTCTCCTGGGCAGGGCAACCAAAGGAGACCCAGCCGATCAGCTGGGACTCAATGGGAGGCAGAGAAGAGAGGGGGTTGGAGGGGCTAGTCAGAGGCGGGATTGGCTGTTTCTCCGAACTACTCAAAACTTCCGCTACTGGTTCTCCAGAACTGATCAGAACCTGCTGAAGGCCACCTCTGGTTCTGTCAAGGAATTTTGATGGAGGGTCCAAAATGAACCTTTTCCATATTGGAAGCCCCCCTGTGAGTTCTCCTAAAGCAGAACTCCTCAACCTTAGCAACCTTGTGGACTTCAATTTCTAGAATTCCCCAGCCAGGATGCAGTGGGAGTTGAAGTTGACTCCAAGTGTCTTAAAGTAGCCAAGGTTAGAGACCCCTAAAGGGGAGAAGACAACTCCACCCCACAAGCTTCCCATCTGTCAATGCCCTTTCTCTTGCACATTTCACAAACCAGGTGCCAAGGGATTGCTCTGCTGACTGCCTTCTTTTGTGTTTTCTAACCTGTCTTGTTTTGCAGATATCTGAGCGCAGGAGCACTAAGCTGCTGAGCTTTGCAGTTATTCCTCCCGGAAAAAGAGAACGAAAAGAGCCCTCTGCTTTTGTTTGCTTTCTTTCCTTCCAGCTGGACTGATTTGTAACTTGGACACCTACACGAAGGCACACCTGTTATGTGCTGAGCACTGCCGAAAGATCCGTTGAGGTTTGCACCCTTTGGCAGAGGGGGGGAAAAGCAGCAATTTGCAGCAGCTTCGCTTCAAGATAAATTCTGCCAGGGACGATTCTTCTGTTGCATTGACTTTTCAAGTTTAGGTGGCCGTGACTGTCCCCCAATTTAATGACTAGATCGTTGTGGCTCTCCAATTGCTCCTGGATTACATACTGAGATCCCCAAGTCCAGTGCCCCTCCCATGCCTGAAGTTACTTGGGTCAGGAGGGATCTAATTAGAACCTCATCAGAGTTGGAAGGGACCTTGGCGGTCTTCTAGTCCAACCCCCTGCCTAGAAGAACTCCCTTCCAACTCTGATGCTCCTAGTGCTAGTTCATCAACTTTTGAAGTAGTAGATCTTCTCTATCCCTCTTCAACTTCATCAAAGAGTGATGAAAGAAAGCCATCTCTCTTGTGAGCGAGACTCATCATCCAGACCAGTCAGGGTCATTATGGCCAACCTTCCCCGAAAAGGTGTTCAAATACCATCATCCTGGGTCATTGGACATGGGGGTTGGGCCTCATGGGAACTGCACCCCAACCTCTTGATGATTCTACCTCCTTGGCAGGATCCTCCAGTGGAGATCAGAAAAATGAACCGGCGTGAGGTGCCAGCAAACTCCAGTGAAAAGACAGCAGTTTTGTTGTGGTTAGCCAGCAGCAGGTGAGGACGGCTGAGGAGAGCGAGGACTCAGATGAGGGGCCAGGACCCTTAGGGAGTGGGCTGCTGCCTTCAGAGATTGTGGGGGCTGGAAGCAGTGATGAGGTGGTTCCCGAGGAGCCTGTGCCAAGTGCGTGTGCGCGCAGGGCTGCTTGTAGGAAAGAGCAGCTACAACAGGAGTAAGGCTGCAAGGTAATGGCCCCTCCTTCAAGAAGATAAAAGCCGTGAATTGGACGTTCTTTGCAGGAAGCAAAGACGTTTTGAAACTCAGCCTCGTGGACATTATAGTATCTTAAGTTGGTATTTGAAGACTCTTGTGTTGTGAAATATTTCTTATCTGTTATTCTTGGCAGTCTCACACAGTTTTGGTGAGGCTTGTGCTTATCAGATTAGTTTGCAGCAGCCTTTTAACCAGGGATTAGTAAGAATCATTAAAAGGTTTCTGTTCCCTTTGGTTCGTGTTGGTTTTATTGGGAAAGGGTTTGGGTCAGAACAAGTTTTTATAACTTTGATAAGGTCACCAGTACAGCCCTCAGTTTCCCCAAAGCAGTCTGTCTTGAATCTCTCAAATTGATTGCAAGGCGTCTATGCAGAGAGCTATCGGGGTAAATAACAGCCTGGAGAAAACATTTTTTTCTCAACAAGCTAAAATTTGTTGGCAGACAAAGACAGACAGAGGCAGAAGGGAAGGTTTTGAGTGGATAACCACAGTAAACTGGTGGCTTCCCTCCGAATTTGCCCTCGGTTGTTTCCAGGAGTCTAATTGCCCACAAAGGGTATGTCCTAACTGTTTGCTTTATAAACCAGACAATTTTTTTAAAAGTATGTTTCTAAGATGTTTGAAGATAGAATCTCCCCAGGCACATACAAACAATCCTCGGATTGTGTTGCTGAAAACCAAACAGGCTGGGATTTCTGCAACTCACAGAATCAAGAAGGAACAGGCCCCCGTTTTCTCTAAGATGCTGAATTTAAGATGTGGAAAACCCACATCAGCAACCAGAACTTTCACTCTGCAGCTATAAGCATTCCCTGGGACTTTCTGCCCAAAGATATCAGCAACGCAGAGCAATCCTTTTGTAGATGGGGTTTAAAACACTTTCTGCTTCGACTGATTTTGGAGGATGTGTACATGCAGGCTGGATCGATGCTGTGTGTGTGTGTGTGTGTGTGTGTGGATTGCCCAACACAGGAGGCCATGTGGAACACAACCCACAAAAGGGAACCAAGATGGAACTCTCATATTGGTCAACGGCAGACAAAGTCAAGCAGAACAACAACAACAACAACAAAAACAGGGTCGATCCACGTGGTGCCCTGGCTTAAACGAATATTCACTCAAGCCCAGCTTCATAAATGATCTGCCTTCAAGAATCTGTGATCCATGGAAACCAGGAAGCCCCTCCCTTTCCCTTGGGGAGATCTTTGTTGATGGGGTTGCCATACCAACCAGGTCAGGAGCAGCACCTGAGAAGACAAGGGCGCAGCTCTCCGTTCACCGTGTTTCACGGCTGCAAAGACTGAGAAGGCCAGCTAAGTTCCCCTGCAATCATGAACGTCATTCTTTTCAGGTAAGGCAAGGGGTTTACTCTAATTGGAACTACTCCCTCTTGCAAAACAGGCTTAAGCGTTGCTTGTGGGAGATGCAGAATTTTCTGTGCAAGCAAGAGGATCTGACGGTGGGAGGCTGAAGCCCTGGTGGGAGTCACTCTGGTGCCTTTATTACTTAAAAGAGCAGTATCGATGGAGACAATAAGTGATTGAGATCTGCCCCAAGGGAGCTAAGAATTTAACTTCTGCCCTGGGACAACCACAAGGAGAGAAGAACAGGTGTGAAGCCAACAAGACTAGTGCATGATTTGGGGGATGGCGATTCAGAGGGAAAAGCGTGAGTTGCAAAAAAAAAAAATATGTTGCGGGTTTAATTCACTGGGGTGGGAGCTTGTCTAAGTGTGCACAAGGGCACAAGAAAAAAATAGCAAGAGCACTTAGATATATACTGCTTCACAATGCTTTACAATTCTCTCTAAGCGGTTTAAGAGTCAGTCTATTGGCCCCAACAATCTGAATACTTATTTTACTTGGAAGGATGGAAGGCTGAGTCAACCTTGAGCCAGTCAGGATCGAACTGCTGGCAGTCAGCAGAATTAGCCTGCAATACCGCATTCTCACCTCTGCGCCACCACAGCTCTTATACCTGACAGAAGGTCAAAGCTCTTTCGTCTTGACCCATGGATACACCGTCCACTGTTTGGAAATTCTGCAGCTATTAAAAACCACTTGCCTCCATAACAAAGCATCCACCTGGTAGTCAATTGAATCCAGATGTGTCCCACAGCTCCCCCCCACCTCAAAGCTGTCTTCATGGCTCCCCTCCAGAGGGCGGCAGGATAAGCCACATCTGGAGGAAACCATCTACAGGAGATCTGAAAGCAGGAGGGATTTCATTCGGATCTACTTCTAGATCAGGGATTCTCCATGGATGGTCCATGGACATCTGGCAGCCCCAGTCTTCCTGCTGTGTGGCCAGTGTCCAATTTCTCATGCATTTCTCTGCTTTCACCAACAATCCGTTGCCTGGTCTTGACTTGCCATGCCAGCCTCCGTCTCAAGTGAAAAATGTGTAACTGTTGTGGCAGCCAGCAGCAGAAACAGACAGTGGGGAAGAAAGGGGACCAGTCCAAGGACTCGGATGAGGGTCCTGCATCCAATGCAGAGATGGGGCCAGGACCACCTGGGAGTGGGGTGCTGCCTCCAGAGTCTGGCAGCAGCAAGGCAGAGGAACAACGGGAGCCTGTTTCCTGTGCGCGTGTGCACAGAGCTGCTAGAAGGCAAGAGCAGCTGAGACAAAAGAGGTGACTTGGGAGTAAATCTGGGAGGTGATTGCCCGTCCCATAAGGCAGGGATCCCCAACCTTTTCGACGCCGCGGCCCGGT